CTATAATATAGATATTTTAATCTATGTGAAATATTGAATTGTGGACTGAGGACAGGTGGTTTTGATAAAATCACAGTGGTGCCTTTGTTTAGAACGTTCTAGTGATCATCTCTGGTTTATTTTCATAGTGGAAATGTTGCTAATTTTAAAAACTAAATGTTGGGTACAATTATAGGACATGTTTTTCCTACAGAAAATCTGTTATCTCAAACCACTTGTCATTTATACCATTCCCTATCTGCGTGTTTGAGTAACTTGATTATTGCCATGGAAATTCACTCTGACAAATTCCAGGCCCTTGTTTAGCAGAATGAGCTTTCGGACAAATCTGAAAGTTCCCCCGACTGTACTGGTAAACAACTCTGCAGCAGCGGAGTGGCACAGATGAATTTAATAGTCAGCTCGGCCTTTCACATGCAAGTAAGGGATTGTGCAGTCAAGTGCTTTGTGGAGACTGTGGGCAGCAGCGGTGGAGTCAGAGGTCAAAGTGCAACTCCTCCCCCTGAGAGTGTTTTGTTTATGTGTGCAGACAAAGCTGGCTGGTTGTCTGCGCTATCCTGGCAACGTCGCTGCTGGCCAGCCTCGCCGGTAACCTTATCCAGACGTGCGGAAAATGCAAAGCGCGCGGGCAGAGGGCGGACTACTCCTACTTGCCACTGGGAGAGATCAACGGGTCCGTGGAGCGAAGCAGAGGACAGGGGATGAAGTCTGGGAAAGTTCTTTTTCAGCAAGAAGACTCTGACTCGCAAGACTCCTCATAACCGTGTTTCAAAATGTATGCGTTTGTGCAGGGTTATGCAATTTTGCCATCCAGCAGAGAGCAAGCGAGCTAGCTAGCCAGAACAAGCCCTCATTAGTCTGAGAACGAGGAAAGGGTTTGTTTGTTCCTGCTGTGAATCGATGAGCTTTTGGAAGGGCCTCTTCGTCTTTGGATTGGGGCGCCCAAATTGGCAATGATGGACAATGAGATGGGCGTTAGCATCCAAACAGCTGTCTGCGTGGCTCAGTGCGTTCACATTCGCCCCTGCTGAGTCTGTAGACGCCAGTTCAACACATGCCAAGTGCCCTGATTGTGCAGTTTGACTGCATTTTGCACATTGTCTTGTTTGTTTGGGTTTTCAGTACACTTTCACAGTAGCTGCTAGCAATGTAAGAACCAGTTTCTCAAGTGACATCATTCATAGTTTAAAATACTATTTCATTGACCTCAGTGAAGACTTTTATTTTGGTCTTCAGATGAGAAGAGAAGCAATATCACCACAAAGCCTTTTTATTGACAGAATGGCCCAGTTGTTCCACCTGTTGCCATAGGAACAGACGAGTTTTGAACTATGAACTCTTTTTGAGGAATCCTTCCTGCAGGAACTTGCCAAACTGCTATTTTGAAACCGTTTTATTGAATGATTTTTCTTCCTCCTGTGGCTCTAGAGGTCATTCAGTTTATTTTGATTCCAGCCCTCAGCCCTTTTGTTTCTGTAAACGCCTTGCCAACTCCTGCCAGCCTTATCATGGTGCTGTTTTGTGTGTTGTCTTAGGCACTTAGAACCAGCCATAGAAACACGATATGAAAAAAGAAAAAAAAATCAAGGCCTGGATTGTTTTCACACTCTCTAGGAAAACAAGAGAAGGACATTTCTTTTGTGCTTAGCTCAAAGTTGCTTTTTCTTCTCTCTTTTCTAAAGCAGTGAATCCGGTCTTTGGGAAGAGGTTTGAGATGAAGTGTTTTGTCAGGTTCTGTTTTAACTCTGAAGCATGACACAAATATTATGGAAGAGGAACATTTACTCGAGTCTGTAGTTCCGGTGTTGTTTCCTGTTTAGCATTCAAATAGATTTAGGCTTGTCTTGTTTTAAGAGTTTAAATGTTTCACTGGCAAACACCGAGACATGTGGAAGGATGAATTTCATTAAACCTGTCAAAACATTCCAGATCACATTAAACTCCCAAATCAACTGAATAAATAATCATATTTTTCCCTTAAAAATGAATCCTATTTTGGACTCTAAACTTCTTTTGTTTTTTTACCATTTTGTGATCGTATTTAAATGACCGTTATGCACATTTTCTCTGCCCACTTTTCATCTTGAATATATAATAATCTCTTATTTCTCATAACTGTAACACAAAAAAATTATATCTGTTAAATTGTAAATTATTTATGCATCTTGGTACTGCTTGTACTTTTTAATATATGCTAATTTAAATAAAATCCAGTGAAAGCAAAACACGTAGATATATTACGATAATGAGAATTTTGGGGAAAATTTGCTTGCTTTACATTAAAAATAATGTTATGATGTAAAATATAATTTATTTTTGTTGTTGTTGTTGTTATTTTGAGGTGAAATTTAGCTTGTACATCTTTTCGCCCATAAAGTGATGTCTTTAGTTACAGAAATATCATGTCATATAATAATGAAAGGTGTTTGTCAGCAGTGTGAAACATTTGACTGTTTATTAACTTCCACCTAGCTCACTGCCTGCTTTTGCATATGTTCTTCACTGCAAGCGACCTTTATGCTGATCGCCTTGTAAGTGTAAAGCAGACAGGGACAAAGACTTCAATCCAGGTTTTTGATGTATTTTTTTTTTTATTTGTTTCAATCTAGTCAAGGCAGATGCCACACAGGTTAAAGAGGGTGCTTGTTTGTCCACGGTTCGGTCATGATGCTAATCAGAGCGTCTGAGGCTGCTGACACTCATTTTAAGTGAGTGATTTTATGTTGCGTGTCCTTTTGTTAAACAATAGAAATTGCTATCAAAAGAGCATGCATAATAAATAATGGTACATTTCATTTGTTTGCACAATTCCTTTTGCCATTAAGGATTTGATTTGATTGAAAGTTATGTTGGATCTCTCTAATTCAGATCGTCTGGTTGCTCTCAGGTTGGCTTGACATTGAGGTTAGTTACAGCCTAACCTATGTGCGTGACCTGTTAATTACTTTCACCCCTGTTTATGTTCTTGGGTTCATGCAGGATCATTGGTGGATAGCCTTTTGAATTTCAATGAATGTATGAAACAAAATGATTACAAAATAATATGAACTATGAAATGGCAATTATTTTTTATATTGCATACATGTTTGTGCACAAAATGGCTGATTTTCCACTGAGCACCCTCCCAAAATAAATTTACAGTCCAAATTTCTATTTTCCATACACTGGATCAGTTACTAAAATTTGGCTTTAATGAACTTATTAGGTTATATAAAGATTGTTAATGTACTGCTTCATACATGTCAGGCTGCTAATCAAATACACTGCTGTTTTATCTGTTTTGAGATATAATTGATAATGAATTTGTAAGGTCATTAAAGGACACAATTGGTTGTCATTGCACAGACTGCAAATGAAAGGCGTGTTCTTCCAGAGAAAAGGTAAAAGCCTGTTTCTCGTGGGTGTGTTCAATAGAAAATTGTGTTCAGGAACAGATGTGTGTCACAGAACATGAAGATGTGGATTTTATTGTGCTGTTAAATTTTTGTTAAAGTGGTTGTTCTGACTAGATCATTTCAACAAAGAACATATTTGTGCTTCATGTTTCATTTAATTTTGTGCTGGTTTGTCAGTAGTATTTAAATGCCATGCCAGTAGCATTGTTTGTCACTTGCTATTCCATTAAACTCCTTGCAATATATTTATGCAATATAAAATGCAAATGAGAGACTCTTTTCAAAAGTTGTTAAATAGCATTGAGTCCATGGGTCCCAAATCAGGTCACCTTTAACAACCAACAAAACGACTAATAAAAGCCATTTGTGTGCTTTGTCATTGTTTTTCATGATTGTCTGGAATTTTCACTTTTTTGCCACTACATAACTCAAAACTCATCTGTTTGTCATATTTTGCATCTGACAAGGTTAAGGATGGGGGTCGTCCCTCGTCTAAAAAGCTTTATATTGTATTCCTCTCAAGCTCTAAAAAAATTACACAATCTTAACAACAGTAAAAGTGCAATACTGGCATACTAGTGTGATATCATACATTATATTCAATGACAAAGTATATCTTTCTCAATTTGACATTTTAAAAATTGTTCAGGGCTTTTCAGGCCTTAACTTGATGCATCATGCTGTCACTTTTTTACTACATGCTTTAAGGGGTTTGGTATGCAGAGGAATATTTCTAGAGGCACAAGATTCCTATGACATTTTAACGTCAGTTTCTTTACAAGCCTCAACATGAATGTAGTCTCGCACAACCACAAGACCTACAGGTGCAGGATGTCATGGCTGACAGCTCACTGACTCACACACGCTCATGCCTCCACCTGCCTGTCTGTCCTCTTCACATGATGCAATCCTCTACCCAGATGTCACACTAAGCTTCTTTGCATCATCATCTGTACTCTTGATCTCCCTCAACCGTAACAGTCACACATGGGCCTTAGGTGCTTTGAGTTTCAATCTGCATTTTCATTTCCAACTTGATTTACATTAGATATTACTGAGGGTTCTAATGTGTTGCAATGTGATTACAGATTGCTTTCAAGTGAACTTTGTTAATGGGGTCAAAAGATTGACATTTGTGACCATGCACATACGTTTACAATTACAAATTCATTCCAGATGATTTTTCCTTCACTGTAGTGCTTTCTTGTAACATTTGTGACTATATGGATGGCATTAGAACTTCAAATTGCTGTATACTAAAAATTTAGATACATATTTCAAGGCACACTTTAAATTAAGTACATTTTGAGTTCAAGTTCACAGGTGTAGCTCATAACATTTGACATGTCCAGAAAGTGCCCAAATCCGGTTTTCCAGTTTGGTTTATTATTATTTGAAATGTAATCAGTGTGATTGTGATAGTATTTCTTGAAACTAAATGTCATTTTGTTTGACAATTTGATATTTAATGCATGCGTCACATATCCTCCAAATACATTTTGGGGCCATTGTAAGTTTATGCAATGTGTTTGATTTTTCAGTCTGCTTTGTTTAACCTAAGTGTCAGGTAGTAAACCAGGTCATTTCAGAGATCATGTCTGTGTACGTAATGCTTTTTGTGATTAAACTCTTCGTCACACTCCCCTTTTGACATTTAGTTGTGTCAGAAAAAGAGGCTCTGGAAATGCCAGAAGGATTCTATGACATATGAGTTTCGTCATCCATGGACACTTGTATTCCATCAAAGAATGACCAAAAAGGTTACCACTGAGAATATGTGTATGGACCTGTATAAAGACCACCACACAAACTCCCATCGATTTGTGAGATTATATGGTGTTACTATCCCTCACAGCCTTGTTTTCATTTGCTCATTTTACATCAAATTAAATAACTTGACTATGGTTTCTTGCACAACAGGTTTGGTATGCCCTAAACATTAACAGAATTACATCAGAGTTTGGACCTCTGAACGGTGGATAATATGTTGTTTATATCAGGAATGCTGTGGAATCATAATGCACATATTGGACAATATGTTCTGTTATGGCAGGGCTTGATAAGAATCAGTTCAGACAACAGATTAGAAATCTTAAGCCTAGTTAGGGTGGAATTAGGTATGTGTTTTGTTCAGATTTTATGAGCTTTTTTTAAATAATTTATTATAATACAATAACGTCTTTTATAAAAATTGCTCAAATAATAAATAGCATGCAATAAAATCTTACTTCATCCAAAAAGTTACTTTTCCAAATAGTCAACAAACTCTTAACTGACATTTTAATCAGTTAGTTAAATGACTGGATGTTCTGACACCACTTCAGACAAGGCCTGTCGAGGTCAGGGTGGGTTGTGGCTTATCTTTATGGTTTAACCCAGAGTGAGCAGGTGTGGCCTTGTTTTGGAGAGTAAATAAAGGAAATATCCAGAAACAGAAGAAAAACATGATGACAGCGCATGAGAACGCTGATTCACTCTCACGTCATCCTACAGGGGAAAATGGAGTGTTAGAAGATATTTATCCAACAGGAAAACTGTCCCTCCTGTACATAATCGGGACTAGTGTTGTGGTCTGAAAAAGTGGAAGTGGACTGATTGGAAAGGTTACTAGAAAAAGGGCTGTGTCAGAGACATAATTCCAAACCAGGAAAGAAAGTTAAATTTTTTCCCATCCTGATGAAGAGGTCATCTGTCTCATTTCGAGGGAAGACAGGACAAAGGGTACAAACACTATTCTGAGCAGGACTGAAATTTATATCCTCAATTATGCAAAATATACAGTAATAAAAAACTATGCCATCATTTATTTAAAATACATTCATACTAAGTATACTTCAAATCCTTTAACATTGACATATCACTCAAGACTTACTGAAATAAAATTATAATTCAACTTTATTTGGAGTGTTATTTTATTGCACATTTCTTAACATTATGCCTAAAATGTGTTTTAATATCACTAGCTATTAATAATGATCATATATTATATATTATTTATATAGATTAATGTAGCTATCTGAATATATGGATGATGCAGTAACATGTTTAGCTTGCTTTATTAGATCTGCTGACTCACCAGGGTAAGACCTTTTGTTAAAACTATAGTGTCTTTGCGGGGGCAGAAAATGGCCATGGCTGAATCTTAGCAAAACAGGCTTCTTGAATACATCCATCTGAGCTGTGTTGAGGGGGGTGGAGTGCTTTGTTCCCAAAAAAACTGGTGACCTACATCTATAATGGGGAGGATTTCAATGTTTTGTTCTAGACATTTTCACTCAATAAAGAACTAAAAAGAATATACCATTTACAATTTACCCTAAAATTACAGTTTTACTCAAGTCTTTTAATAATTATTAGATGCACTTGATTCTGATTGGTCAGTCATACATTCTGTGGTCAGATAGGCCTAGTTTGAAGCTGTGTAATCATGTTCTTTTCCAATAATCAAATCTATAGTCCATTTATTTATTTGGTAAGTAAATAAATACATTTTTAGGATGCTATGTCATGGTTCATGGTGACCAGACCAGCTGACTGCACATAATCGTATGCTGTTTTCTTTTAACAGTTTGTTTAGTTGGATGAAAACTGTGTAAGGTACACATTAACATAGTTAAACGTTTTTAGAGCCATCAGGATGTTTTAGCACTGTCTGGTTGAAGATAAACTTCATGAAAAAATTCCAGTCATTTCAGTTATGTAATGCAAGTAGATTCTTCCAAATGATTTTATAGTTCCGTCTTCAGTCAATTTGATCACTTACATGATCCTGCT